GAGTTGAAGTCCACACCTCTTAAAGTTGCTGAGGTTGAGAATTACTGGTCTACTTCTTGCACCTGATTAAAGAGGCTGCTGTCAAGTTATAGCACAATTACTCTTCAAGGTGCTGCAGCTTTTGAGGAGCTTGATTTACAAGCAACCGCAAGGAAGAGGAAACCTTTAAATTAAAAGGTGAAACCAGTTATAGGCGTGAAATGTACTTGTTCGTCTTAAAGAAATTCTGTTTACTAGAGATACTTGCAATCTATTCAGCTAACCTGCACAAAATGCAGAACCATCATAGATATTTGAGGTCTCTCTGTAAGGACTATCTGCCCCACTCACATCATGGTGGTCTCGACTAAGAACAACTGGTGCCTGAAAAGAAGTATATAGGAAAAAATAGAGCAGAATCAGCTGGGCTCCTTGGCATAATTCTGTCCATCCAGATGATGAGGAAATCAATTCTTCTGCTAAAGATCAAATTCCTGAATAGGGAAATCAACCAATAAGAGATTTGGATTAACCATGTAGTTCCAATCAAAGAACTACGCAATGGGGAAAACACAATCCTATGTGTTAGTCAGATTTAACATTTAGAAATTGTGATGGACAACCTCTGTCCAGATATGGAGAAAATGCATATGAAAGTGTCCCATATTAAAGTGTAGGTAAGAAATATACTAAAAATAAATAACAACAATAATAATGAAACCTTGGCACTTTAAAATAATCAACTGCTTTTCTGTAAGCTTTCAGTACACTGTCAAAATAAATTACAGGCTAAATAATTACAAATAAATAGAATAAGAACAAAAAAGGTATTTTGATCTTACTAGGTCAAAGCCAAAGACCACTGTGATGTTTCTGATGGTTTTAGTATTATGATCACCTTTCCAGTTTCACTGAAACTGTGAAGTATCATAAGATCTTGAGTGCAATGGGAAAAAAAGATGAGATGTAGAAATATTCCATGGAGATTAATATTTATATGTAGCCTGAATCCGTCCAAGCTGCAAAATAAATCTATGTAGGCAAGGCGAGGCTTCTGGGATTTACACTAAGCCTGACCAAATTGGAGGTATTGTCAATCCATATCAGCTGGAGAGTATGAGAGAGCACCTCTTTGTTTCTTTCTGAACCTGAAGAAGGCTCTGAAGCTTAGGTTACATTCTAGGCTTCTACCCTGAGTCTTGCCAGGGAGTGACCAATCCCAAAGTGACTGATGCATCAGCTTCATGTTATTTCCCAGGCTATGCATCCAGAAAGAACAGACAGGGAAGCTTGCTTGCTTTGTGACAAATCTTCATATCAAACAGTAGGAAACTTTTTGCAACCTGGGCAATGCAACTTATTTATTTTTATTAATACATTTAAATAAAAAAATAAATTGGAAGAGCCCTCCAGGGAAGACAGGACTGAACATTATTGGCCTCTTTTTTCCTTTTTGAGAGAAGCAGATGGGGTCAAGTACAAAGTGTTAATCCTTGTGGTCATTTGGTGTTTGCATTTTTCACCCTATTAGTGCCAGAAAGAAAAAGTTGGAAAATCAGGCTCCTGAAAATTGATAGTTTTCCCACTGAATTTTGCTGACACAATATGGGAGTGTTTCAGAGGGTGTAAAATGTAGATTGAGAGGCTGAATATGGTCTTGGGGCTCTGCACCTCATTTGTATAATGAAAGAACTAGGAAGCACACAGGACATCCCTTCACTGAATTAGGAAATACTGTGAGGTTTTCCAGTAGGAATTCAACAAGGAATAACATTCAGAAATCTTACAACATGTAATATTGTGGTATTATGGCTATGGTTATTATTATACTGTGGTCACACTCATTTCAAACTATTAGTCTTCATTACTTTACTGGAAATTCATTGACTTTAGATAGCTTGCATTTTTAGAAGAAAAATTCTTATCTCATCATCTACTGTTTCTCTCAGTATGACCTCTTCAATCCCCAAATCAATCTACCATGTCAAAGAAAATTAACAGATTATGTTTAATAAAAACACAGAAGAACTGTACCTTAATTCTTCCTTCAGCAATACTCTTGTTAATAGCCACTGCAATAGCTATGCGGCCTTTTTGATCAGAATACAGAATTCTGGCTTGGGAACCAACAACCTAAAATATAGAAATAATATAATAATAAAGTCCTTGGCTTATCTCCACAGGCCAGATGTGGATCAGAGACAATGCCGATCTATTTAATGAAAAAAGCAGGACAGTGAATTTACAAATATCCATCCTCCATAATTAAGGATTAAGGATTTCTGCCTATGATTTTATCTCCACTTACATTTCATGATATCTAACTTTAATTATAGTTGCAATTTTCCGCTCAGTTAAAATCAAGATTCAAAGTCTAGTATTAGAGGTTGCATTATTGTTAGATAAGATATAGAACTACTGATGGAGCTGGAATCTAAAAAGGATTTTCTTCCTGCCAATAATGTAAAAATACTTACAATAATTCTATTTGGCTTCTCCCTAGAGATTTTGCATGGCTTATCCCTAGAATGGTACACACTGGCTCCCAATATTAAAAATGATTCATCTAAAGGATGTTTTGGTATAGTCATCATACAAGAACTTTATTGCAATGAAAGCAAATTAAAATGGAGCTCTGATCTGAATCAGTTTTTAGTATATAAATTCTTCAGATTAAGTATTCAGAGCACCTGCAGAAAATAGAGAGACTCACAAATTCTGAGTCTGATGTTACCTATTGAAGCAGGCCCAGGATATCTGAAGGACACTGCTAAAGCTATGGCTGGGCACAGCAGGGAGACAGCACCTGTCCATATTTCTAGTAGGGCCATCCAGAAGCCTCATACTGCTTGCCAGTGATAGGATGTGGTGTAGCATGAAAATCCCAAGTCCACACAGCACTGCACCCTAACACTGCATTCTAAATGGCTTAATCTTAAACCAGTTTTAAGACAATCCTGTCCAGACTGAGATGCTTGCAAGGTGTTCAACCTAGAGTGCAGGGTACCATGAACAATTCCCCTGCTGCTGGAAAGAATTTCCTTTCTTTCATCTTCCTTCTGTAACATCTGCTGCAGATGCTGCCACAGATCTTCCTTACTAGGAGAATAGTTATAACGCTTGCCTTATGTGCAGAATATCCCTGATTCAAAACCCAGCAGAAACATTTTCTTTTACATCACTCTTTTCATTCCCTGAGCTACCTAATTCCCCATTCAAGTTTTTTGATGAATGAAATGGTACACTGGTAGACCTGTTTTTAAAAAAATGCAGCAGAAAAGTAGGTGGCTCAGGGAAAGAAAAAATATTAATTAAAAAAAAAAACACTGCTGGTTTCAAACCAGGGACATTTTGCATGTAAGGCAAGTATTAGAATCAGGATGCTAGTAAGGAAGATGTACAGGGAGTCTTGACTGGGTAGGTCAGGTGGGTAACTCTGGGGACAGAGAGAACAGAAAGCGGCACATGTGGAATGATGCTGGTTATGGAGTGAAAACAGTTATGGGGAGCTCATAGGAATCCCAGCCAGACACAATGCAGGGGGTGTCTGGCTGGGATCCCTGTATAGATGCACACTGAGTATAGACTAAGTGGGATGGAAATACCAGCATTGGACATGAGGAAGAAAGGAAGAACCTATGCAATTCATCTGGTGCAATTCCTTCCACTCTCCCTCCTAGGCCAGCCCAATGTTTCTCTCCCACCTACCTTACCCAGACAGTGAAGAATCTTTTGATCAGCAGAACTGTGCGAGCTGGCTTTTATTCTTTCCGTGTTTGGGGTGAATTATATACCCCTCCCAGGGGTATGCAGTCCACAGTTTAGGGAACCACTGTTATAGAACATCAGACTGTAGATAACAGCTTTCTGCCCAAATTTCCTGTATTTACAAAGTCTAGTTTCACAGATCAGCATCCTTACTTTCTCATTTATTGGTTTTCAAATGAAAGACTGTTTAAAATAGAAAAAAATAACCATGAGGGTCCTGCCAGCCATTTTAAATGTTAGGCCCAAGATTAGGCCCAAGAACTAGGTCAAGATGAGATTAATAGAAAGAGATTAGATTACAGTATGTGGGAATTGCTTCAGTATACAACATACAAGCATGATGGGGTCTCAACTTTGACTGGATGCCCCATTGCACAATGGAGTTGGGAGGAAGAAAATGCTACATGTTCTTTCAAGCAATGATTTTAAGGGATCTTTTAAAATTGTCCGCCACCTTAGGTACCTTATGGGCAGAAGGGTGAGATAAAAATCATAAAAATAAATAGAATAAAAATATGAAATAATGGCGCTGAATTCCAATTAAGCACCATTGTAGCTGGGTTTACATACCAAATTATGTCTTCTGGCTTCCTGAATCCAGCGGATGTTATCATGGTACTGCTGTTTCACAGATGTATTTGCTAGGCAAGAGAAGATTAAACAAAATGGTTCATAAAAACATTATCAGAAGGCCGCTGTCAGTTTATAAACAGATTCTCAAATATCCATGAAAGAGCACAGAAAACACCTGCCTTTAGGATGACCCCAATGATGTTACACAAATTATCACAGGGGAAAGGAATAAATTATGTCTCTAGATTTATAGATAGCCTGCATTGTCTGGAGACAAGAAAAGGAGAGCACAGCTGTGATCAGATTTAATATATTATTCAAAAGAAATACGAAGTACATATAGTAATAAATGCCTGAAAGGGAGATATTTCAGGCCTGCCGTAGCAAGGTCTTTTTACCATAAGGGTCAACCTTTTTAAGAGCAATAACCAAAATATTTGGTTCTTTGAAGCAATTATGCTGCATGACAAATTCTGCAGGAAACAAGTACTGTATGCAAGTATTTACCAGATAAAAATAAGTTTGATATTTATTGAGGGTTTGGTGAAATATAACATAAATTATATAATAGGGCAGCCTTCCAGAATCAGAACCACTCCAAATATATGAGATTATACACCTAGTAATGAGCATACTGGCTGGGAATTTTGGAACTTGCAATCTGACATAATCAGAAGACCTAAGGTTGGGGAAGGCTGAAATAGCAGCCTTTAATTGGCTTTTAAAGTCAACCTGGAAAGCAAATGGAGCAAATTTGATATGCAAAAGAGTTAAGGAGCTCAATCTACCTTCTCACTTGCTCTATCATTTTTCTTCTTTTCATTAAAAATGCCTCTCATTGCAATGGCAAAATATGTGTCCCCTTAAAGTAGTTACTGTCTGATTCTTACAGCTATGGCATGACAGTTCTCACATACAATCAAGAAGGTTACACTGTGTAAACACTAACTGGGACTGTGTTTACAGCTGTCAGGTAAATGCCAAATGTTGATTACTATTGCAATTTATGTTTTTCAGCATCAGCATCTGACATCCAAATTAAAGCAATTCTCAGATAATATTCATGTAGATTACACACACACACACATACACACACACACACACACACACACACACACACACACACACACACACACACACACACACACACACACACACACACACACACACACACACACACACACACACACACACACACACACACACACACACACACACACACACACACACACACACACACACACACACACACACACACACACACACACACACACCACTATTCATTCAATCATGTCCAATTCTTGGAGACTGCTGGATATGTCCCTGCAGTTTTCTTGGCAAAGGTTTTCAGGAGTGGTTTGCCATTGCCTCTTCCTAGGGCTGAGAGAAAGTGACTGGCCCAAGGTCACCCATTCAGAATTTTTCTCTATTAACAAAGGAAAAAGGAAACATCTGAAGAGATAGCTAGTATGAGGGAGAGGAGAGCCCAATCATTCACCAAGAGCTGGGGTGGCAGGGAATATATCATATCCTCCCATCAGCCATTTTCCTGCACACAAACTCCAGTTCAATATATTTGTAATCTACATTGACCTGAATAAGAGGAAAAGGGAAAAAGGAAGAAGAAACACATGGGGGAGAGGGCATATTTATTTATGTATTATATTTCCAAGCTACCAAATAATTATCATTCTTTGGGCAGTGTAGAAATCAGTACAACCTTTTAAAAAAGCATAAATAATAAAGGATAATAAAGATAAAATCAGCAGCAGCAATAATAATTCCAATAGAAATAGCATATAAAATGATAATAATGCTTCTTTCAAAAAACCTGTGAAGTTCTTTAAAGAACTGAAAGAACAACAACTCCAATGAATATGAATTAAGGGTCCTTGACATGGAAAGGAATTTCTCCCAAGTAACTGTTTTCTCTCCTGCACTCCTTATTCCCCATTCATGTTGGTATTGAAATTAGAATAAAAGGGATTTGCAATAAGTTATGAAAGAAACTTTTATGAAAAGATATGGAAATGTTGAAATCAGAAAAGCAATTAATATCTTTTTTTTTCAAAGGATCTCTGAATATTCAACAGATGTTAAGACAATATCCAAAGGGGAGTATCATAGGAGAGTTTTGTAAAATAAAAATATGGCAATGTTGCTGTTTCTGCATTACTGCTGGGAACTGCAATGTTTTTAAAATGCCTCACGATTTTATCCCTTTTCATGTGTCCAGGTATTGCAGTTCATCTGCCCATCATAGATAGATTGACCAGCCTTCCACTATCTTGGACTTTGAACTTCTTTTCTAAAATATTGAATCTTATTTTTCATCCCAGAGGTCCTTGGAAAAGTCCTGACAGTCTAATTTAAATAGCTTCATGCTCCTACAAGAAAATGCAAACTCATGGTATGAATATTCACATTGTTTCCTTTCCCCAGCTTAGTGTCTTCTCTAATGAAAAATTCTGAAAACATGAATAATTGCACACCAACTTTTGGTGACTTTGGATTTGCTTAATAAAGATATCACCTATCCTGCATTTTGCATCCATTTGTCTTTCATTTCTTTATAAAGTTGCCACCTCAGTTTACTTTGTCACCCCTCCTGCTTATTGATCTTTATTAAGGGTGTGAAAGATACTGAAGGCACACTGTGGTCTCATCAACATTGTCTGTGTCAGAAAGGAAGTTGACTCCCACCCTCAAAAAAATTTATTTTTTTTTCTATTTTATTTTGTACTTCATCCGAGCCCATCTAAATATACCCAGGACAGGGAGTACATTCTTCCCTTAAAACTATTTAACATCATTGCACTCCCATTACAGCCCTCATCTAGGGAAACTTTAATTTCTTAGCACATATTCTGGTTCTTACAGAGCAACCATTTGTTCCATTAGTAGGGTAGCTTTGATACGGTGGCTAATTTTCAAGCAACTAATTTTTAATTTTAAAATGTTATTATATAGAAAGTGAACAAAAACATACTGCTTTGAATGTAGTATATGCATCTGGAGCAAAACAGCAGCTTTAAAATATGATTCCACTTAGCCTTGATATGTGCTAGGCACAGCCACAAAGCTAATGTCCTCATTCTGCTGTGTGGGACCTGTTAAGAGTTACTACCAATAGATTCTAATGAGTACTGAAGGGGCCAGGAAGGTCTCTATCTTCCCAGCAACACCCCTGATGCCAACACTTCAGTGGTAACTGAAAAATTGGTAATGAAAATCATAGCAAAGGATTAGCAAATGTCTTTCCATACATCCTGTTATCAGGAATGAAAGGGTTTCTGAATGCAAGAAGGCCAATTCAGAAGATCTTGGCTGAATACTGATGTGAGTTGTCTAACTTTTTACTTGTACTTCCTATTACATACTTCCTATTTCTCCTTGATGATACAAAGACTGTTATGAGATGGTTCACAATTGATTCTCCACGGTCAAGCGCTCAAAGGACCGTCACTGTGTGCATTCTGTTCATATAAATATACAAACTTGTATCCATACATGTATCCAGACACATGTGCACACACAACTGATGTGCTTCAACAACACTAAAAATGATTACTTAAAATCACAAAATCATAGAGTTGGGAGTGACTTTAGGCCATCAACTCCAACCCATGCTCAATGCATTAAAGCAATCCATACAGATGATCGTCTAGTCTCCACTTGAACACATCCAATGAAGGGGAACACACCTTCTCTCTGGATAACTGTAATCTGCTTTTCCTATGAATTAAATCCATTATTTCATGTCTTGCACTAGAGAACAGGTCTTGACCTTCTTCTCTGTGACATCCTTTCAGGAATGTGAAGAGTACCATAATTATTCCACCAAGCAATCATTTCTAAAGGATAAACATATCCAACTCCTCTAATTTCTCTTCAGAGAGCTATGTTCCTAATTCTTTGATCATTTTTGTTGCTGTGGCTGTTGCTATTCAGTTTTTCTGAATCTTTTTTAAAATGTGACCAAAAACTAGACACAGTACTTGAAGTGAGATCTGCCCAATTATTTTCCATGATCTGGAAATTATACTTGTGTTAATGCAGCCTAAAACTGTATTTATTTTCTTTGCAGGAGAAATATCATTATCTTGTATCTGCACATCTAATTTTTGTTTCCTAAATTAAAAACTTTGCTCTTTTTTCTATAAAATTAATTCTGTTACATTCAGCCCATTTTTCAAACCTATCAAGATTGTCTGACTTTTGTCTTTTACAGTATTAGATATCACACCTTCGTTTGTATCATCTGCAAATTTGATAAGCGTTCCTTTTACCTTTTCATCAAAACCATTAATGAAAATAATGAAAAGCTGAGGACCCCAGACTGATCCCGATGGCAGCTCGCTTGATACTTGTCTCCAATTTAATGAGACATTGATCGGCATTTGAGTATGATTATCAAGCAGCCATGCACCTACTTTACTGTCATGCCATCCAGTTCACACTTAACTAGCTTGCTAATCAGGATGTCATTGAGTTCTCTGTTAAAAAGGTTTGGTAAAATCAAGGTATGTTTACAACATTCCCACAATCTATTAAGGAAGTTATCCAATTAAAAAAGAGAGAGAAAGATAGGATTTGTTTTTGACAAACTCATGCTGACTTCGGTGATTATTGCATTGTTTTCAACACACTGATACTTTTATGAACTGTTCTAGAATCTTCCCAGATATTCATGTCAGACTGACTGCTCTGTAATTTGCTAGATCTATTTTTCCCCTTTTCAACATACAGACATTTGCTCTGCTCCAATTCTCTGGCACTTCACCGGTACTCTTGAGATTTCTCAAAGATAATTCATAAGAGTTTGACCAGAGCATTAGTTCGTTCAGAATCCTAGGATGCAGTTCATCTAGTTCTGGGAATTTAAATGTATTCAAATAGGTATTCTCTGATCAAATTTCCATCTGGCCTTCCTTGATCTCTCAGCAGCTTTGGATACCATCAATCATGATATTCTTCTGAGCTGGCTCAGGGGGTTGGGAGTGGGAATCACTTTATCAGTAGGGCTACTGCTATTTTGGTTCAATCGTCAATAAAAAGCCATGTGTTCCATCAGGAAACTGTGGAGGGCAGGTGAATGGGCATGATATAAGCTTGTTCCTCTTAACTTTCTGTTTACTCAGCACTAAACAGTCACCCAATCACTCACAACGAGCAATCAGCAGCTGTCAGGATATACCCCTTACAATCAGCAGCTACTCAGGAGATGCCTTTTACCCTCACAGCTCAGCACACAATCCTTCAGAATTCACAGTTTCTCTAGTTACTCTCTTCCTCCTGCTGAATTCCCTCAGCAAACTCCTGTTAGGTCTCCCCATTCACTTGCTTGCTTTTGTAATGAGCAGTATTTAACTCAAATAATAATTAAAGTCCAGAGTTCCAACCTCTTAGCATTAAGGACATAATAATAAGTCATCCTCTGTTTGCCTGACCATTGAATATGGGTTAGACTGCAAGCCAAGTAGATGGCAAAACATTACAAGCTCTTCAAAGTACCTTACTCTGGATCTGATTTCTCACTATACTACTATGGCTAAAGTAATATTTCTACATGGCAAAAGTGAGAAACCAACACTGAGTACCAAAGAGGTCAATAGGTATTCTCAGAAAGAATAACAGGCATCTTTCCACTGAAGTCCAGCTATTATTTCTGTTTAAATTCTGTTGCTCGTTTCTCTGCCAACCATAACAGCAAATCCAGTAATTAAATTGCCACCAAGTCTGCTTCAGTCAGCTGGAATGTAAAAGGTCACTTTAAATATATGTGCACTTAATTCCAGTGGTTATTTTCTTATGAGATAAATATCTTCTTTAGATTCACCATTTTTAAAATACTTAGGGCTGCTTTCCAGTTTGAATGGTGGGAAACCCAAGACAGCTTTTCGAGAACTGGGTAACATAACTTCAGAGAACTTCTGCTCTTTGGGAATAAGAATAGCCCAGCTTTCATAATATTTGACGTTATTGGAACACCACAGTCCTCAGTGTAGCAGATGTTATCGTAACACTATTATCTAACTTTAGGCATCAAAATGATGTTCTGCAAGTTGCCATAGTGCCACACTAGCAGAAAGTACTTGCCAGTACCTCTCAGAAGATATAGATCTCAGACAGAAAAGGTCCTACATTCAATCTGAAGTTTTTCAGGTCAGCTGGGAAAAATTCCTGTCTGAGGACACTAACAGACATGGTGCCAGGCTCTTTGGCAACTGCCTCAAAATGAAAGTAGTTCTTTTCCAAGCATAATTCTCACAGAGTTCTCTTTCAAAAGATTCACTGAAATGATGGGGATGGAATTACAAGAATTCCAGCAAGTGAACTATTTTCAGTTTAGAACCAATATATTTCCATGTACATTAGGTAGAGACTAATCTTCAGTTGAGCATGAAACTGAGCAAACTCAGGGAGGCAGTGAAGGACCGGAAGGCCTGGCGCAATATGGTTCATGGGGTCACGAAGAGTCGGACACGACTTAACGACTAAACAACAATCTTCAGTTCTCCTTTCTAACAGCCTTCCTATGATCCAGTGAGGAGGCAGGTCTCCTCATTGATAACAGGGAAGCTTGCAGCTGGTTCTTTACAGAACAGTCTCTTAATCTGTCTGGGAATCAACCTCCATAGCTTTATATTTAGTTTGGCAGCCTTTCCCGAAACACACTGCATACTTGTGCAAAATGAAGCTGGGATGTGATATAATGGAAAGCACCCAACCACACTATTGGCTGATTGATAGATTAATCCATTCATGTCCCTTGCAGATTTGAAATTGTGTCTTATAGACCTGGTTTTCTTGTCTTCTTAGGCCTATGTGGTCACATCTGAAAAATTCTGAAAGTGCTCGTAGATGCTGCCCTAAAACAGTGCCCATATGGTAGTTACAACATGAATGCTGTGGGGGCAAGGCAGTCACAAAATATTAAGAAAGTATAAAACCAATCCAATAACTCAAATACTCTTTATAATGAATATACATGAAATTCCCGTATGTCCTTTCCAAAACGACAATTAAATGATTGCTAACTCTTATTCTTTTTATTGCATAGTGTATAGCTACTAATCTGATTTCACAACCATAAAAAGCAAGGATTAAAATATGGATTTTCACAGTTTCAAATATATAACAACAAAATCCTAATCAAAGTGCTACAGATTAGATCTGTACTTACTGATGGATCTCTTGTAAAAATTATGAGGATGTTAATGGGCCATTTCTTTCATTCATGTTTTATGCCTTGGCAGTGCTGATATGTGCTGGATTGACGATTTTTAGAGTGCAGCTCAAACGCAAACTTTAATTGTATGATTCTCTGGAAAGGCTCTCGTGAAAATTGTACATGTTAAAGAGGATCCATTTTCATTTTACTGTATCTGACTTTTAATTTGTTTTTATAGAAAAGCAATTTGTGGGATTGGTGCATGTTCTTGCTGTGTTTTCTGGGTGAAGGAGGAGCTGCTGTTTTGGGGGGGTCCTTTTGAGCCCGTGTAATTAAATAAATAATTTCATTATATTACTATTTGGTAAATAATTAAATAATGAAAGCTATATGTTTGTATGCACTTCTTGGTTGTTTTTGTATACATTTCTATGGGTTTAGGAGGGGGGTTATCAGATGGTAGCCCCTACTAGATGTTAACTGATCTTTATTTTATTTATTTATTTATTTGAATTGATTGGCCTAAAAGCTAAGTCGGGCAGGAACTGGTTACTACCTCAATGGGAAATCACAATCTCAGGGCTGTAGCTAGACTGAGAAGTTGAAGAAACATCCCAGGAGAAGACAATGGTGAACCACTTGCCAAGAAATCTACAGGGACATGTCTGTGAAGTCACCAGGCATTCTGCTTGATTCAATAAATCTGAATGAATGACTGAATAAAGAAATAGATAAATGAGGGAGACTTTACATATATCTTGCCTGAAACACTAAAATATATGCACTCAGGTAACAGCCTGAAGCAGTCGGAGACTCCACTTATGGTTACATGCCAGGACGTTCCACTGATAATGATAAACATGTACGCACATGCTACAGTATATATGATGGAAATAATGTAGAGCAAGTACAATTTCTCCTCACAGCACGTATGAGAGAAATAAGCTTCTAATTGACTCAAAACGTATAATAATTTGATACTCATATTCTAAAGTTATAAGGTACAATTAACTGCAGGTTAATCTTCCTGGGCGCTATTATTCACCCTCTGTATTAGAAGGCAGCATGTCTTACCTCCCTGATGTGTAAGTTCCTCAAGCACTGTTGTGGCTATAAAGTCAGTGGTTGCCAAGTCTTCTGAGTCACCAGAGGTACAAACCCACCGAAATGGGCCAAATCCCATAGAAAAAATATCTCTGGGAAGAAAAGATATTTAAAAATTTAAAAGATAGTTTAAATTCCCACTATATTTATACTTCTCTTAGCAACGCTTTTCTTTCATTAACCGAAGATGGAAGAACTTCAGCTATTTCAAATAGACTAATCCAAACACATGCTTTTTGAATCCCTATTTTAGAGCTTTAAATAAAGCTTTATTTGCAGGCATAAGCAATGTATCTGTGGTCATTTGCCCACTTGAATTGTCCAGTCATTGCTGTGCCAAAGTAACAGGAATTAGGATAGACCTTATATCACTTCAGTGATGGTTGAATGATGCTGTGAAGACACTATATAAGCCTCCAGTGAGGAGACTATCTATGGGATGTGTGCTTGGGTGTGTAATTACAGGCATTTTCCCTATGAATAGGATCTGACAATAGGGTTTAAATAAATAAATGTATTCTATGATTCAGCACATATGCAGGAAGGCGAGTGCTTGTGATCACAGATTGAAGTGTAATATGGCTAGCCTTCTCTGTTTGGTGACTGAGGCATCCCATCACACTTTCTTCAGTCTCTATCATCAATAAGCCTCAGGGTGAACTGGTAGCAGAGAAGTTTCCTTCATTGACTCTGGGCCTGCAATTTAGGCTGGCCTTGTCAAGTATGCCCAATAAGAAGCCACTGCCCTGCCACAGGGCAGATTTTAATTTCATATCAAGCACCAACCAGACCAAACAAGTTGAATACAATTTCTGATCCATCTAGAAGACCCATACAAAGATAAGTGTAAAGTCTTCTGTGATGGCACCAAGATCCACGTGTCCAATAATCTATGTTAAAAAAAATGCCTCCACTTCACTCCTGCAAATTAGGACTAGCTCAAAGACATTCTTTGTTTATTCAGGGATATTTAAGACATTAATCTAAATCCAGGTTTATGGTTCACATGTAAGGGTTAGGCCCTTGTAGAAAGGAATAGTTTATGTTTAAATTCCTTGAAACAAATGTACATCAAATGCTTTGGGCAGAGGCAAGCTAGAAAAAGGAGCTAAATCAATTCCAGGTTTTAAAAGCACATATTTCTTCAAATACCAAATAGAACTTCCTGCCTTAAAACATACCACCAGCTAACCGAGGCTTGGCAGATCAGAAATCCAAAAGATGACCCAACCAATCAGTTTGCAGGTAGAAGAAGAGCCCTGCCAGCCAGACTGCACCATCCATGCCTCTTAATGTATTAATACCTTAATACAAGACTTTACAATTAACAATATTTCTGTAGAAGGAAGGAAGGTTGGAAATAAGCTGGACACTGAAGGTAAGTAAAAGTTGAATCAAACCCTTCAAAAAGCACAATTTGGTTGCTGCTGGTTGAGTGACATAATCTGTCTCCCATTTTGGAGTACTACACATATTAGCTTTTCCTTCCCTTCCATTACTGTCACAATAATAGATGCAGTGGATTTCAGCTAAATTTGCTTAGATACATATGTGCCCAAGAAGAATACAGTCATTGGTAACCATGCAGAGCCAACCTCTTCTAGACAGCGTTTCACTAAACTCCTGGCTTAGTAATATAGGAATGAAAAGCAACACTATAAAAACACTTAGAATTTATTATCACTATTGGATATTTTATGCCTACCATGAATTAAGTGGCCTATATTCTTTCAGGAATAATAACAACAACAACAACTCAATTGTTGATAAGAAAAACAAAAAAGTCTGGATAATGGATAATGGCAATACCTGGAGACAGCAGAGTAGAAGAGAAAGAACTGGAGAAAATCACAAAATATAAAGACCTGGAATAGAAGTAGAACAACTATGGCAAAAGAAAGCAAAGATAGTACCAATAGTTATAGGTGCCTTAGGTGCAATCCCAAAACACCTGGAACACCACTTGAAGACCATCAGCATTGACAAAATCACCACCAGTCAATTGCAAAAGGCAGCTTTACTTGGAACAGCTTATATCCTGTGACAATACCTTTAACTCCATCAAACAACATCATCTGCCTGTCCCAGGTCCTTGGGAAGGACTCAGTAGGTGGATAAAAATGCCAGATCCAGTCTAAACATCTGGCTGACTGTGTAACCAACCATAATAACAACAACAACCTTTAACACCATCAAACAACAACATCTGCCTATCCCAGGTCCTTGAGAAGGACTCAATCAGTGGATAAAAATGCCAAATCTAGTCTAATCATCTGGCTGACTGTGCAACCAACCATAATAGCAACAAGAAGTTTTTCACAACAAGTTTTGTTTCCCATATTTATCTGTCACACCACTTTTCTGTAGTTCAGATTTCTCTCACAGCTTCCCAAAATATTTGTGATATGCAGCACTCAAGAATTCAGTTTACAGCCTTTAACTCCTGCAAGGCAATTGAGCTAATGTGAAAGTTACTTAAAGTGACTTAAGAAAAAGAGAGCTCACATTTAGCAGCTCTTTTGGGTCTTCCCTTTTCCAATCCCAGTCCCCAAACACATTCCTTTCTAGACAGAAAAGTACTGATGTTTCATATTTTCCTCTTGTACATACCCCATAATGTGCTGAACATAAGAAGGGTATCGGAATTCTCCTTTGCTGGCTCCTCTTTTTGCAACATCAGCACCTTTCAAAGAATTTAAAGGCAAAGTGTTCAGTGAGGAGGAAACTCAGTGCTCTTCACAGCAAAACAGCAGTTGAGTGAAATAGGACTGGATATTGCTGTGCTGACTGAGAACAGGGCTAATTGGGGAGCAGGGCTGTATATGAATTTATATATTCCTGTACAGAAGTACTTCTCATTAGATGATTTAATAGTTGTTCTGATCATGAGATTATCATATACAATACATAACAGTAGCATATTTCCTTCATAGAAGAATGCCTGCTCCCATGCATAAATAATGTGATTAATGCCAGAAAAAAGGAAGAAATTCTCTCCTTACCAGCTCTCTGGGCTTCTAGAAGGAAAGCATTGCCATAATCCCAAAAAAACATTCCTTGATCAGACAGCTTGTTGATGGCAGCTACTTGTCTTCTAAGACTGAAAGAACAAAAAAGTAGAACATTACTTTTGGCACCATCACATGTCATTAGGAAAAAAAAGCCTTAGTTTGAACTATGGGATGCTGTGAGAGAGAAAATAATTTATTGAGTAAATGTGGAAGATGAGAAATCTGGGTTCAAATTATGGCTGAAGTAAATAATCTCTAGCAACTATTCTTTCACTAAAAAGAAGAGACTCTAGATTTCAATCGTGCCATCGTGATGGGATTGTGAGCTCTCCCCCTCCACATTCTTCTCTGTGTTCTTTAAATCAGCCATTCCCCTTTAGGTATGATTTGGCCAATAGATCTGCTGTCACGTTACACTATCATCACCAAACTCATCTGAGCTACTCTGAACAGCAGTCCTACCTTTTTTTTTTTCATTACTAAGTTATTATTTATTTCCGTTGTGATCATGGCTAGTGTTTTGAATAACATATAACAGAAAAGGTGTTTTATTTCCAGAAGTGTGAGCAATGAGAAATCTTTGGGCCATATTAGGATGTAGATTGCGTTTTGATAAAGAGACTCATGAATATTTAACTATTCAGAAAAATTCTACTTTGAAAATTGGTGGTAAGTTATTTTGTTGGAAAGTTTGGGCAGAAATTGGGATCGTGATTTTAAATCACCTACTACGTAATGTCTATTTTAAAGATTTTTCCAAAGTTCAAATTGAATTTGGTCTGCCCAATTTGCAACAGTGGAGGTATCTTCAATTTAAGCATGTTCTAACGGATCAATAGAGACCAGATGCTTTGGCTGCCTCAAAGACACCTGAGTTGCTCTCCTATGTGATGGAATCCATATTGAGAAACTGGAAATGTGATTATTCCAGATGTCAAGGAATGGTTGTTGAAAATATACTATCTATCTGTTCTGGAAAAGGCTGTATTTTCTACTAATCAAAGGATGCATCAATATGTGTTACTATGGCAGAGCTTTTGTGATTTTTTACAATAATATTTTGTACTGTTCATATTATAGTAGTAAGCCAGTAACCATTGATAAATATAAAATGTAAGGTACAATTTTTTTTCTTCTCTTTTCTTTCTTAGTTTGTATTTTTAGTTTGTTTGGGGTTATCTCTTTTCTAATTTATTTTTAATATTAAAGATTGTTTTGTTAAAAATTGAATAAAAATATTATTCCAAGAAATTCAGAAATTCATTGAAGCCTCAGCAGACAGAACAGCATCCTCCCAAACAATGTGTATCCCCTCAAACAGCATCCTCTCAAACATACAATAATGTTTTTTTCCTTAAAACTGAACATAAACTGTCTGACACAGTTCTAACCCACACACAACACTCTTCTTGTCATTAATCCCACCATTTTAATTTAATATAAAAATCCTCCATATGTCACACAGTCTTACCATATGGATGTTTTTCCATTTGCGGTTTATTTTTTCTTACTAAGAAGCTCTTTCAAGCAGGCTGATACTAAAGTTCAACAGAATTGCAACAATTTTTCATTAGCAAATAGCTGATAAGGAGATTGCATATATCTGTAAACTATGCTTGGTCATCCCTACTCTACCGGATTAAGAGTTAAAGAACATATTTAGGATTCTCCCCCACCTTCAAAGATAGTATGTATAAAGGCATTTAGAATAGAGTGGCCATTCATTTATTAATGGATACATGTGTACTGAGACTGTCTTCTACCTATGAGTCTATAATTAGATTCTGGCAGACTGATTTTTCTTATTCAAAAATGAATCTTCTCTGCCCAAAACCTAGCACCCCAAACTTCTAAAAGAACCCAGTGTGAATGAAAGTGAACATTTCAAGACTTTTCAGAGGTGGTAAAAAATATGAAAATTATTGCGATACCTTTCTTGTACAAGAGCCTGGAATTTTATGGGATCACTGGACATGAGTTGGTTGGCATCCCTAAAGCTTAGTTGTACTGGGTAATATCCGCCATTAAATGGATTGTGACAAGATGTTTGGTCAGACCCCAAATCAACTAACAATTCTCCAGTAGTATTGAATTCATCAACCAATCTCTCCCTACATATAGAAAGATAAAAACAGGCAACTGAGAAAGAATAAGCAGATACAAAGAGGATCTTGAGGAAATTTAGACAAAGTTTTTAATCAATATGCACATCATAAGAACTAAATGATTCAGCCAACACATAAAGCATGTACACATCCCATTTATTTCAAAGATGTATTTCACTCAAAACTCTTATAGTTTCTTTCTCAGGGGAAGCAAATCCAGTACAATTTTCTCAAACATATGTACACACCCAACAGTCTCTGATGATGACCACAATTAGACATGAAATGCTGTCATTTAACATATTATCAACTTTGTCTCTAAAAATGAAACACTTTTGTTGTACAATGAAAAATAAAATGTGGCATTGTTTATTGGGTAGTTCACTTTATAAATAAAGAAAATCCATTCAAAATTTAATCAGGGCTTCTAATAGAGCTGTTCTCATGTATAAGCAACACTGACGTAGGGTAGGAAAGATATTGTACAAATTTGGGACAGACGAAATTGAAACTTTCAGTTAAAGAGTAAATATTTGTTTCAACTTATGGCTATGGTAACAGAGCAACCAAAATAGTAAATATTAAAAAACATCACAGCCAAGAGGATCACAGATCAATTGCCAACTTACCAAAGATCTACCACGTTCCCATGGTATCCCAAACTAAGAGACATTTTGTTCTTCTTTGCTTCTCTGTGTAAATATTTTAAAAAGATATTAGCATTAAAGATACAAAACAATTTGGGGGGCGGGAATTGTCTTCAAGTCAGTTTTGACTCCTAGTGACTAAATAGACTATCCCCTGCAGTTTTGTTGGCAAGATTTCAGAAGTGGTTTGCCCTTTCCCTCTTCTTCCTTGGGCTGAGAGAGAGTGACTGGCCCAAGGTCACCCAGCTGGTTTTGTGCCTAAAGTGGCACTAGTTTGGTCCCTGGCTTCTAGCCTGCTACCTTAACCACTACACCAAACTGTCTCTCTACAAAACATTTGCCCAGAATAAAAATGTTGCAAAGTTTAACCAAATATGACAATTTGTAACACATATATGGCATTTACATGAAAGAATATATTTAATTTATTTCTATTCGTTCCCTTAAGAAGCTTAACCTACATGTTACAGTATATTTGTAACAAAGATAATTTAGTTAACAGCACCTAATGGACCTTGGTGTGCTCTTAAAAATCTAAGTTTGAGTGGGAGACCTCCAGGCCAGTCTGTATTTAACCCCAAACTCTTCCGTGGATGGGAGCTGATCAAAGATTTGTGAAAGCTGCTTGTTTGTCCAACAGTCATCCACAAATGTTGCAAAATTTGTCAGGCTTAGAAAGGCATTATTTGGGGTATAGGCTGTTTTTCATAGCCTTTTTCTCCAAATTCAGAAGACATTCCAAAATTTTTGGGTGGCATATATTAATTAGTGAGACACTAAAGAGCATGCTTTCTGAGTCATACCTAAGTCGAGCAATGCAGTGGTCCAGACTTCTAGTGATTTCCATCAGCCATCCCTGATGATGACGTTTTAAGAGAGCAGCTTCATCAACCTGAGAGATTGCATCAGGCACAACTAAACTTTCTGCATCTTATTCCCGTTGTGAGTAGTAGTTAAAAATAAGGTTAATCACCAGCACTGTATGACAATGAGTTTAGTTTTGGACAAGCTATTCATAGTCTAAGAAATATAAATTATGAGTGAGGTTTCCTGTTAGAACTAATTTAGAAAAAAGATTCTCTCCCAATCAACAATGAAAAATTACACAAGTAAATTGAAATCTTGTCTTGCTATATTTAATAGCTCTAAACTTGTTACAGTGAGGCTTCTTCCACATGAAACTATTTCATCTCCTTGGGGAAACATTTTATTGAATGAACAAGATACAACCTATTTCTCAATCTCTCTGCAGCAAAAATTAGAGTCTACCCAACAAAATTTGCATCTTCTGAATAGCAAATTCCTTCCTTTTCTTTTAAAATTCCATTTGGTGATTTAAATAGATAGAAGAATTTTCTCATGAAGTAAGATTGGAATGATTAGGACTGTATGCAGCTTAGTTAAGACCACAGGGGAATTAAATTCATGAAATGTAACGTTTTATACATAAGCATCTGGAAGAAGATTCTGCTAAACTTTGTGGGCTTAATATGCAGTATGTAGGGTTCCTGAATCTGGGCTGCAAACTTCTGAAGAACTACTGTGATAAAGAAAACTCTCTTTGTTGCCATCTAGTGGGTGCCTGGAGTTTTGCAACCCAGATACAATTACTTTGCAATAGATGACCATATGATTAAGCCATTTAAGCCTATTGTAATCACTGTGGCTGAGCTTACCTGTCTATGTCAGTTTCTAAGAAAGGGTTGAGGAAATTGGGTAATTTTTAGAGGGGGGAAGGAGGAATAAATCAGAGAAACATAAAGGTTTGTTGTTGTTATAATTATAATAATACAGCAAATTCTGTACATTAATAACATGTAATAATTTCCCAGATAGTTCAGGAATTATGGCACAAATCAAAGTAAATCCAAATACATATAAAGCATAATACAAACATACAAAACAACTAACAATAAAAACAAGATATATAATACAGTAATTTACATAAAAATGCTCTTGATTTTGTAAATACAGTATATGTTACATCCCTTTTAAAGGATGATGATAAACTATAAGAGCGATTCTCTATTTTTGTCTATAACTCCCATTCAACGGGCAGGCCCCTTTTATTTCCCAACCTTTTATCTGCATCTGTGTGGGAAGACCATTTCAGAGTATTATATTCACAAGAGGCCAAACAACTGATTTAGATCTCGATGTTAACCTGCTCTCTAATTGGGCTGCTGTCACAAAGGCTGAAATAAAGAGGCTCATAAATCAGCTAAAGCCTGGTAAAGCCCCAGGCAATGACTTCATCATGCCCGAAATACTATGCAACAATTTGGAATGGTGGACCCCTGTTCTTGCCTCCCTGTTCACCTATATCGATCGCACTGCACAAATGCCAGAGGATCGGGGCCTAGCTATCATCGTGCCTATCTATAAAAAGGGCACCGGAGACCTGCCTGCTACTGTAATTATAGGCCCGTCAGCTTGTTAAGCTTAATGTAAGCTCTATGCCAGACATTTATACAATGAATTAGTTGACTGGATTGACTCAGAGCATATATTGGCAGATGAGCAAGCAGGTTTCAGGTCCAGATATTCTATCTATGGACATGCCCTTATACTTCAACATCTGGCCAAAAAATATACATCTGAAACAGGTTCAACACTATACACCGCTTTTATTAATTTTAGGTCTGCATTTGATCTGGTTCCCAGAGCAAGGCTTTGGTCTAAGCTCCTTTACACTACCACTGATAGACGGTTACTGTTGCTCATGCATAATCTCTATAAGAACTCTAGAATCAAAGTTCGATGGAGTACGCAAGGCCATCACACAAGTGAGATTCCAACTCACAGAGGAGTGAGGCAGGGCTGTATTTTAGCTCCTCTGCTGTTTAACCCATATATAAATCCACTTGTGGCCAGAATGAATCAATTAGAACATCACCCTCCAAAATTGGCAAACAGGTATATTGCAACTTTGTTGTATGCAGACAACATAGTACTCCAATCACAAACACAAACTGGACTTAAACGAGCCATGAGTGCTCTGTCCAGTTATTGCTCTGAGGAAGCATTTGAAATCAATTATAGCAAGACCAAGATTTTGGCCTTTGCAAAGAGACCTAAACTGTACACCTGGAGGATAAATGGCCAGAATATTGAACAAGTTAAATCCTTTAAATACTTGGGCATGGTTTTTCATGACTCCACTAAATGCAGTATGCACCAAAACTACGTTATACAAAATGCCCCAAAAACAGTGGCCACAATCCAATCTTTTCATTTTACCAGAGGAGCACAGCATATCCCAGCAGCACTGAAGCTATACTCAGCTAAGGCTCGCATACAATTACTCTTTGGTGCCCAGTTAGGACCTTATTTTTCCTTCACTCCTCTGGAAAGGGTTCAGTCCAAATTCCTAAGGGCTATATTTCAGGTAGCCCCTTGCATTCCGAATGTAGTATTC